TTTACTAGCGACACTAATTGTCGGAAAAAGAAAGAAATATTTGGTCGGAAAATACGCGCGCGCGCTTCGCATCTCGCGACTGAATCACGTCGGAGAAAGGTGGATTATCCAACAGAGTTCGCGCGCACAAATATGTAGTTTGCTTAGCACAAACACATTCGCGTAAGAATGCTAATGCGACAAGTGTCACATACGACGCCTCGCGATGGAATAGTTTCCACGCGCCTTATCATTTCGACTGTACCGTAAATACTTGCAAATCAATGCGGAAAAAAATATTAATCTCCATAGCTAAATTCCAGGTGTTCATATATGACATCTAAAAAAAATTGCATTACCCAGATCCAAATTTTAGCTATGGTAATTATTATTTTTTAAGCTATATACATATATATTTTTTATTTATTTTATATATTTATTTTATTTAACTATATTTTTATTGCGAAAAAAATTCCTCATTAAAAGTATAATTAAATAAAATAAATAAATCAATCAATATATATATAGTAAAATAAATATAGTGAAAAATATTAGTAACTAATATTTTTTTCCGTGCAACAAAGCTCGCGCGATGATGAGACAAATGTAGCTGCAGATTTTATGATCCGAAACCGTAACGACTTAAATCCATTAGCATTTATTGCGGATGATTCACGCTAATACTGCTACGAGCAGCAATTATTTATCCAAGCTTTGTGCAAGCGTGGATTTATTTTTCCTTTCACCTTTCACTGCGAACCTCAACCTTTCGCCTTGTGAGAATGCGACGCGGGATTCCGATGCTCGCCCGTGTATTTTGTATCGCTTCTTCCAAGAAATATATACATATGTGAATATACATATCGTGCGCGAAATTAGAAATTAGAATATTCAAATACGGAGTTCGCGCTGCCTTTTTTTACGGCGGATTATATAAAATTGTGTCAGAGACGCGAAAGATTGTCGTGACTCTCCCGACGTTGTCCATTAATCTTGTAAACATCGTGTCTCGCGTGACGATTGCGCTTTCTAAAGCATTACTACGTAGTTACTTTTGTCCAGGGGCTACTTGTGTCTTTTGACCACCAATTAAGACTTAATCGAATCGTTAAATTCTTTTTCTCACATTTTCTAATTACTTGCTAATTACATTCAAAATTTATCTCCAACGGACAAATGACACTGTATTCTGACATTAAACATTATTTTATTATTCTTATGTATATGTATTGTTTTTTATTAATATATTTAATTCGAGGATTAAATAACTTTCGCTTTTTTGATGTACAAGTAAATTTTGTACCTGCTCGCTCTCGGCGAAATTCCCCTCGATATAAAAAGTTGTGAAAGTTTGAACTGTAACCTACGTCGGATGTTACATTCATATACTTGTAGTTATACGATAATATAATCGCGGCGGCCGATGCGACTAATCAAGTTTTCGCGATGCAGTTAATTAATCGATCGAGTGCGTTCGAGAGGGAAAAGAAATGCGTAACCCGGTAACGATTACGGGAGACGTGATATAACATTTTTATTGACCGACCAATCAATTTCATGGTTTCGAGGAAAAAATTGTGAAAGAATCTTCCGTGTTCTCGACGAGATCGAATAAGTTATCACGTGTGTTATAAAAAAAGAAAAATTAATTCAGCACTCAAATGTATCGAAAATCCTGCAATGTGCGAATAATATACTATTAAAAAGAATTGTCTTCAAATGTCGAATTACAAGACTTCTCACTAGCATAATTAAACTTTTTTGTTTTTTTTTTTTTTTCTTTCTTTTTTAATAAAATAAAATTTAAATAGATTCTAGTGTTTATAAAAAAAAAAGAGCAAATGCTTAATTTTTTTCTGATTTCAACTCTTTTGTCTTCTCCCCCTGGGGACGCCCATAATCGTATCTTTTTCGGGTGCACGTTAACACAATCAGGAATTGCGAGATGAATTCAGAAGACTATAATATTATATAAAAAAATAAAAACGCGACACATTTATTTCCGTATGTACGTTTTACAAAATGTTAAAAGTTGCGACAACCTCTGAATTTCTCGGATGCAACACATTCGAAAGGTCCTTCAACTGTGACAAACGCCGTCGAAATTAAAAGGAAAAAATTAGCCGGTAATAGCGAAGCCGAATCGATCACGTGACGACGATGCATGACTTCGAGAGGAAGTTGGAAGAAGAAAATGACGAGAGAAGAGAGAAGCTCGGAGCGAAAGTCCAAGCCTTAGCTCAACGAGGCCCCTCTTTATTCCTGCAACGTGAATATCCGAGAAACTCGGATGCAGCGCGTCCGATACGTTAGGACGTCACTCGGAGAAGTCCCGGAATGTTACTCGAATCATCATCACCGACGCGATCGCCTATGTCTACGAGGAAGCCGAAACCGCAAATTGTGACGAGAGGTTTTGCGCGTTCAAAATTCTCGAGGATTGATGAATCGCTTGTTATTCTTAAGGAATTAAATGGGAATTGAATAAATTGTTGGAAGTTCACCAGAGGAGAAATAGGGAAATATTAAGTAATATGGAAGATTTAATTCTATCAGTAGCGCATACCTGAACGAAAGGGATATATCGAATAAAAAATGTAATTTTTAGTATAAAAGTCCCATCGTGCTTTCTCTCTTTAGATTTCAAAACAAAATTATAAATTATCAAAAAAATTTCTCTCGTGACATCGAACACCAGTATTTAACTTTCAATATGTCATTGCACGCATATTAATATTTTTCTTTAAATGTTTTTTCGGAATATAAATTAAGTTCACCAGAGGAGCATTAAGCCTTTATACGAAAATAATTAATGCCTTCAAATATAAACGTTACATTTCATTTGCTGGTCGGAATTACGAGATGTAAGTGAATCAAGATAGATGAGTGTAACGCGAGAAGTGTAAAATCATCCCATAATTTTATGGAAGTAGCAAGATGTGAGAGAAAGAGAGAGACTGTTATAAATCGTATCTTCAATCGTCGCGACTCGTCATTAAATCACCATGAGAATTTCAAACAGAAATTAATTGCGATAAAAAATATTACAGTCAAGTATTATGCATAAGATCAAAATGGCAATTTCGTAATAACGTATTCATCATCTGTATTGTCTGCATCATCATTTCTTTTTTTATGCTCTGTATAAAAATATCACCGGGCGAAACGGTGATGTTTTACACTTTATTTCTGCAATTGGCGCTTTCTCCCCATCAAAGTCGAAATTAATGCATTAATTAATAAATAAATTGTGCTGGGATAAAAATTGTTCTCTGTGTCGTATATACGTATCTCTTACCTAGATATCCATCGCGATAGCACGAGCCATACATTATCTCCGGATTTCATAGTTGTCATTGACGCGGATGATTTAAGATTCTCCTAAACGTCGAAGCATTCTCGTATCTCGTCGTTACCGGAGTCCGAACGATGCCTGTTGCCGAGGACATGTTAACAAAGGTGACAGAAATTAATCGCTATAATTAAATTATGCAGGAAAAATGCCAGTAAATAACAGAAAGCGGAGATATCTATCTATCAGAAAATATTATCTCCGAAAGTACTTTCTTAAAATTATTCAAGGATTTAAATATTGCGCTTTATGTCATTATCGCTCTTCGATATAAAATAATAAATAAAATTAATTAAAATAATCAATAATAAATTCTAAAATAATAAATAATTAAATAAAATAATACATCCTTTCTATATCCTATATTCTTGTGTAATCACATGTACAGAAAATTTAAAGATATTTATCTCTAGAGTGTTTGATTAAAGTCATATAAGTGATATTCAATTATTTGACCAACAGTCTAACTTAAATATAGTAAGATTGTCGATAAAAATTTCTATTTATCTAAATACTTTTGGATATTTCTAAAGTGTAAAAAAATAACGTATAACTTAGTAGTCTCTAGTTTCACATTGCGCAATTAAATATTTAAGATATACTTTTGCTTCGATAAATGTTTACATAGCACCATAGATTTTTTTTATCAGTATATTTTCAATCTCTCATAAAAATCACATTATTCTTGACACATTCACAATCTGCTGAACACTTGTGGATGAAATTAATTTGCCTGAGAAGCCTGTAAGTATTGCAAATGTTGGAATAAAAGAATAGAGTCTTCTCTTTAATAGTAATTTCTGCAGATATTTTCACATAAATTCATATAAATATCAAAGCGAGGATATCAATAATTATTAAAATATTAAATGTTGCTGGCAAATGTAGAGATTATCAAAGGGTCAGCGATTGCAGCGATTTTTGCATAACCGAATGTAAAGTTGTTTATACAATGAGGACACAGCAAGAAAGAAATTCTTTGCTAATTACGCGTTTATAGGGAGAACTGCGTTCAGAGAATCGGTCCTCCACAGTTTGACAGTTGTACTATACTAATATATCGAGCGAGCAAGGACACGTGAAAGTAATCATTAAAAAACCGCTCTCGCATGTTGCTCGCCGATCTCTTCGGGGACGAGGGCGAACCGTGAAAGAGAAGGGAAGAAAAAAAAAGAGAAATAAATTAAGCGGATCGAACTCGACGAGCGAGGAAGAAAGCGCAGGAGGAAGAATGGCGGACCAGATATAGGGGGTCGTAACGCGCGTGAAGAAGTGGGTCGAGAGTTCACAGGCCGGATAATTAAATTCCTCACCGAAGAAAGCGTTTTCCCTCTCGTTTAGCGAGTACCATCACCCTCTCCTCCTATCTCTGATCCCCCTACCGGGGACCGAGGAGCCGGACACATCGGTTGTCGTAATGAACTTCCTCCTCTAGGCTTCCTTCAAATCGTATCGCGAATAAATTGTTGACTCTTATTTTTTTTATTTTTTAACGTGTTTTAATTATATTTTTACGACATCAATTATTATTTGATGAGACATGTTGTCAATCGTGAACTAAACGCAATGACTATATAGAATATAAATATAACATATAAATATACAAAATTAAATAATATAAAATATAAAATAAAAGATAAAATATAAAAAAAGAAAAGTGAAACATATAATATTATTATCTCCTGGAAATGTCCGCTGCAGCTTCGCCCGGGAAAATATGCTAATGCATTTTGTAATGGAATATTTTAATGCGCTTGTTGATGCATGCAAGATATGCAAATTACCTCGAAGTCGATGATTACGTCGATTCGAATGCGCGGAAGCTTTAGCAGACGCGGATGATACAATATGCTCTGGCAAAGCACGTACTTTTCTTCCTGATGTCGAACTCTCCTTCTACAACAATCCAGAGTTCGTGACTCCGTTGGATGATTGTGCTCTCTATCGTTCAATCTGCGCGTAAGCGTGACCTTTACAAATTGCCGAACGTAAATGATTTATCCTCGTCGGTACCGCAACTTTGTTTCATTATCTCCCGCGTCACTATTGCAAGAATACATTATAAGATATTGCGGCTTGTCTCCGTCTTCATTAATTTCTAGCTCTATAACTATAGTTTGTATACTGATTGCCTCTATGTTGAAACAGCATGCGTACATATTTCGTATATATATATATATATATATATATATAAGTGGAATCGTAAGTGAAATCATACGTAAAATGATAGCGCTGGGAGACAACTAATTTTCAAGTTTATGTCAGATTTACGTGTCTGCCAAAATGTCAATTAAACCACTAGGGATATTTCTCGATGTATATAAAACCAATCGTTAATCGACAAATTTATTTTAGTGCGCTAATTCTCCTTGCTTGAAATGTATATCTATGATGCAATGTCAATAATGTACATTGAGTTGCAGTAATCGAAGTTGAAGTCACCTGTATATGTAAAGAAAGAAAAATATATTAAGATGTGAGACATGAAATATTGAAAAGATCGCTTCTTCCTTATTTTTTTAGACACGTAGATTATTACAAAACTTATGCAATGCTATAATTACCTTCGCTCGCAGAGAAATGTTAAATATATATTACGCTGGATCAGTAGATCCTCTCTTTTCCTCTTCTAGATACAGCAATAGCTGAATCGAGCCTCAAGCACTCGCGAAATTGCTCCGCCAACTTTCTTTCAAGTGATCTATTCGATGTACAAAAATTGACCTGTTGTTATCCTGTCGCTCTTTAAATCGGTATTACGAAATTGGAAAGAGATTGAATATATATTATTATGTATAAACACTTTTTTATATATAATTCCTTATAATTTAAATTTTAAATGATGCATGTAATCCAATTTTTTAGTATAATAAATTTTTTTCATTTAATAAATAACGAGATACATATATTTTACGTGGCTGCAAAATATTTCTCATATTTTAATCTTAAACATAAAAAAGTTTCAATAAATTTTATCTGTCTTTTGTTAATTAGCCTAACTTACATAACATCACAAAAAAATAAATCGCTGAACTTTTGAGGCTGTAAAAAAAAGCGATAGTAGTGTCGTAAAATAAAAAAATATTAGGCGTGAAATGATCAATGGAAATGTTCAATGAAGAAATGGTTCCATGTATGTGTATCCGGTATTACACATTGTACAAACAAAGGAAACTTGTTACGTGAGATGTATGTGCCCATTTATAGTTTTGTTCTTGTTATGTAATATATTCTCATAGTTTAGCCGAATACACATGAATCTATATTCATAAACTGAAAAGTTGTTAGCATATGTAGCCACAAAATCACAAACTATAATAAAATTAATGCATAAATAATTTTATTATTATTTAGAATCTTTCTCGTTATTATGATAACATTTATATTTAAATTTCTATTTAAATGTAAAAAAATGGATAAATAAAATTAAAGATATTTAAAAGCGGATAGGAATTTATCTTACGATGTAATAAAACGTCTTAATTAAATCACATTTTTTAATTAACTCTTTTACTCAAAAGAAAATTTGATGTGCTAATTATATGTATATGATACTGCAAATAAAAGAGAGAAACAAAATTAGCACATTAGGAAGAAAGATCTTAAGTAGAGAATGAGACGGCAAAATTACGAAAAAGGATTTACAATCGTTACTGTAACATTACAAACAGAAAATTATGTAAAATATTTATAAATATGAAAAAAGTATATTTTATATTATTTTTCAATATTTTTGTGTGTCTATATTAATTTTACCTTTTTAAGAATTGTTTTTTTATATTTTGAGAAAGTATTAAAAATAAAGATATTCATCTTTTTAAATATTATCAATTAGGTAACTTAATCAAATCAGTTGCAATTATGAAATTATTAGATTGGCAAATATATATATATGTGTATGTCTATAAAATATACATATAAAAAATAATACAATTAAACTTTGGAAAATTGAATTTTATTTCATATCGCTTGATTTTTTTGAGCATATAATGATTGTATTTCCTAATAAAGAAACAATTTCGAAGTAATTTATCAAGGTAGAATTCGAAACGGCTCTTATAAGGAACGTTTCATATTCTTGTCATGCAAAATTATACGACAAAATACGGCATATGCACAACATTTTATTACAGCGGCTAGCAATATGTTGTAACACAATGTTGTAACGACTGGAGTCATCATATAGCAATGTTCACTTGACCATATCTTATTTTGTACATTGATGAAGAAGACAATATTGATAGACAAAAAACACTTTTCTGACTTTTAATGTAACATCTATATTGTTTTTACGATCAAATAAATTGACTAACCTTATCAGCATTTATGAATGTATCCTCTAATCGTCTATCACAAGTGTAATAAAAATGAATTAAAATAAATTTTTGGCAACTAAAGTAAGAGATTTTTATATGCACATCATAATATAAGAAATATTCGATAAGAGATAAAAATGTAAAAATAGATAAGAATATAAAAAATACAATATAATGTAGATCATTTGAATATAAGCTAATGTTCAGAATAAAATTAATGTCTCACGAACTGTCGTACACAAATGCGACTTATATGTAAAGATAAAAAGTTATCCCCATTTTCAATATCCATCTATCATAACTGTCATGATATATTGCCGCGATCACACAGAAAAGAAAAAAATCTAGATTAGTAAGGTACATACAGACTCCAGCAAGGCAACCGGGGCTGTCATTACGACAAAGCACACTCGATCAAAGGAGTCTAGGTCTAGGACACAAGTCTAGGGATCCACGACACGACTATCGAGAGGCCACGACGTTTCGCAACGTTTTCATCGTCCAAATCTCGAGTGTACACCGCGGTGATCCACGCGAACAGGGACAGGTGAATATTCCGACTTGGACGGAGAAAGAAAGAAGCACGTCATGAAAAAGAAGGGAGGGAATCGTCTCACAACTCTGAATTACTCTCACTCGCGAGAAGCCCCCGTCTCTTCTTCGTGGGGGCCCCAGCTTCGTATATCCCCCTGCTTCTCCTGGGGGTATAAATGACTCCGGTCTACCTTCCACGGAGTCACAGAACTGAGCGGCATCGCAGAAGCCGACATGAATCCTCTGATCGCGGTAAGCACGCTTCTTTTTTTCATATTTACTTTACAATTAAGGAGAGGAAACTTAAAAGCAGAAAAGAAAGCGAGCGAGGAAATATATGTGGTGCACCAAAATACGCGTGTGGGTGGGAGAGGTTCAAATGTGTGTGACCGAGATCCTGCTCGGTAAGATTGAAAACAAGCAAGCGATGACCGAATCATCGTGTTCTACATCACTGCTGTTGTTTCTAATCACGCGTGAGGCGAGTTTCACATTAACCGGCCGACAGACAGTCGATTTGATGGTGCTGCTTTCCCTGTCATACGCGCCTGTCCGATTTCTCCGGAAAACACAGCTTGCTAGTTTTTTTCACACAGTGACATTTTTCGAATCAAAAATTATAAAAAAAAAAGCAAGGCTTGTGAAAGCGCTGCATAATTTGAGCAATTCGAAATTGGATTTTCTCTTCTTCCAGATTTGTTGGAAAAATGCTAGAGAACTTCACTGACCTTTTTTCTCAATTTTGCATTTGCATTTATATTATTTCAAATGTGACGAAAAAATCATTTTTAATTCTAAATATGCTCTTTTTATATAAAGAAACATACTGACATATTGACGTTAAATCTAATCTGAAAATTCTCCAAAAAGAGTGTCGATATATAAAATTATAGCCGTACATTCTATCCCGCGAGATGCACAGATAGAAATTTCATATCTAAGAAGACCTTGCATCTCGATAAGCAATCATTGCAAAAAAAAATTAACATTTTTAACTCTTCAACTTCTGAACAAATTGATAAATATTTGGACAAACGTGGCTGTGGTACCTATATTATTATATTATTTAAAGTACGAATATTCGTTGCAGACTTACGTAAACACTCTTTAAACTAAAGTAATATATTAAAACCTCTATCATCATCTCTTATGATTGGGTTTACCTTATATAATTTAAAATACGAATATTTGTTAAAGAATTAGAGTGTCAATCTCTCAGACTTACGTAAACACTCGAAATTTAAATATCCACCTCTTGTTGTTATAGTGTATGATTGTCGATCTGGCTAGGTTCACCCTAACTCTCTCTCCCTTACATTATTTAAAATACGAATATTCATTGAAGAATTCGAGTATAAATAAGATATAAGTGTTTCACCCGTTTACTTGACAAGACGGTTCTCTCTTTTTCTACACGTCAATTAGATCGTTCATATTCACCCTAACTTTTTAAAAATACAGATTTTTAATTCTTCAGGTCGAAACGTGTACTTGATTCAATAAACATTTGCTAAATACCCCATCACACTTACGTAAGCACTCGAAATGAAAATATCCATATCTCTTGTTTGTTACAGTGTATGATAGTCGGTCTGGCTGGGTTCGCCCTGGCTGAGCCGCCTTCCGGCTACAATTACAACAGACCGAGCGGCGGTGGTGGCGGCGGCGGCGGTGGTTACTCCTTCGGCGGCGGCGGCGGCGGTGGCTTCTCCTCCTTCGGCGGCGGCGGCGGCGGCGGCTACACCCAGGTGTCTCCCGGCGGACAGACCAACGAGGGTGCATCCGTGGACAGCGCCCTGCTCGAGCAGATCCGACAGATCCTCCTGAAGGAAGAGTCCCAAGGAGGTGGCGGATTCGGCGGTGGCGGATTCGGTGGCGGAATTAGTTCCGGCTACAGTGCCCCGTCCGCGCAATACGGTGCACCCCCATCGACGCAATACGGCGCCCCCAGCTATCAGACCCGTGTCGTAGGCATCGATCTCGAGGGCATCAGGCAGGCCATCCAGGTCGCCCAGTTCAACCAAGTCAGCCAAGGCCCCGGAGGTTACCCCAGCGGACCTAGCAGCAGTTATGGAGCACCCAGCAGACCATCCGGTAGCTACGGTGCGCCGTTCTAAGGAATTATCTTGGGTTGGATGATGAGAGAGAGAGAGAGAAAGAGCGAGAATGAGAGAATGAGAGAGAGAGAGAGAGAGAGAGAGAGAATGATAATGGCACCGGCCGACGACCACGACTACTTTCCGAGGCGCAGTTGAAAAATACATTACGTAAACAGACTACAGAGAAGATCAGATACACTTGAAAAAGGGTTATAATTGTCTACGCATCAGATTCTCTCACGAGGGATACATTCCTCAGGCTTGTCAACTCGGAAGGTCGTCGATACCAGAAGCAGAGTATCGAGCGAACCCGTTAGTTTCGCTACGGATCGAGATTCACAGAGCTGGATCGCCGAAAACTGGCTAAGTGTTAGCCTTCGATCAACGCCAGGGATCCAGCTGGAGGACACGTCAGACGGAAACGTGCGCCCAAAGCAGGAAATTGGCGATCCGGGATGGCGCCTGGTCCGTTGGGGATCAAAATAGTCGTCGCTTCAACGGGTCAGGGTCTCCCGGGAACTCGCCAGAGAAGAACTCGCGCATCGTTTCCGGAGCAACATCTCGTCCGGACCCCGGACTTGTCGGGAATCCAATAAGTCGTCGCTCGGACAAGACGGGGTCCGCGGGAATGATGTGAATATATGTGGCCAGTTTATTTTCCTTTTTTTTTCCTTTTTTCGAGGAAGACTCTCGGTCGCTCTCGAAGTCTCGAGCGCAGTCGGCGCGGTGCCGAAAAGTCTATCGTACCAAAATCGCATCAATCGTCGCGGTCATCGATGTCAGTCTCGCGCGAGACGCGAGGATCAGTGATAACGTAAGGAGGAGGCGAGCGCGATCGCTGACACAGACACACATATCACACATTCTTTCCGACATTTCGTCGGGACATTCATATATAGAACGAGGAGGAAGAAGAAGGAGGAGGCCGACAAGCCGAAGACGTGATCGGCGCGATCAGCGCCTTGTAAATAAAATTTCTACACAAGATCGCTATATCGCGGCGTCCGCTGCGTAATTCGGTTCGGCTCTTCCAATCTTGAAGACCTTGAGGAGAGCCGATGGGAATCCGTGGGAAGGTCCTGCGAAGGCTGATAAAAAAATCGGAGAATTCCTGAAAAGAGGATAAGGTCGATTGGAAGACTAAATCGGCCTCTATCTGTCCGCGAGAAGACTCGGAGCGGAGGTTCGCCGTAAAACCGGAAGGGTGGAGCCTTATTAAGGAGCGGACGCCGCCGTGTCGGGCGACACGTATACGCGAAGCCACGAATACACACTATTTTTTTTTATACCTACATTTTAACGCTCTACATCCTTAACCACGCATCTTTTTGTACTTGTATAAAGGCTTTTTTGTAGAAAAAAGAATAAAAAAAAAGAACGTCGCCACCGTTAAAACACCCTCTTGTGCTTCTTTTCAATCTCTTCCAAGACGCCTCTCCTGTTCCTACATTTTCACTTTTTCCCCCATTAGCCATCCAAGGATCGCACGATTATCGCGATTCCGATATATTCTATTCTATTATGACCCCGAGTGTGATGGTCATCAGAGATCCGTCGATTCTCGCTTCGGGTTCTCGGCTTTTTTCTTCGTTTCGCCGCGTATCTGCCAAAGGTATCCGACCGTTTCTCTTTTTCTTCATCGTCGACGATTCGAGAGATCGGCGCCTTTCTCCTTTCACTCGCGAACCCGCGAGGCAACGAGATCGCATTATCCTGCGGCGAGGAGAGGAGAAAGAAGGAGGGAAGGCCGAACTTTTCCACCTGGATGTATGATGTAAGTCCTCAGCATTTGAGCACGCGAAAAAAAAGCCGGTTGCAAAAGGGCATCGCGTACGGGACAGAAAAAGAGAGTGAAAGAGGGATCCGATCATCATCGGTCAAGATTCGAAAGTGGCTTGAAACTCCTCTGCGTTTGCACTCGAGAGTGAAACATCCTTGGATCATTATTTCGGCCAAAAGATATCCGGCAGAATTGTGTGGGATTTTTTTCCGATTTTTTTTCGAAGGTAATTTCGAAAAGTTTCCTGTGTATGGTATCGCGTTCCTTTCTCGCTCGAGCTATCTCAACTTGAAATTAGCATTAGAGTTTCTTGTTTCTTGATTACAGGTGATTACGCAAGTCGCTTGAATGTACGAACTTGTCTCGCGTGCGTTCGGAGATTTCGCTAAAATGTAATTTCTAAGGAGAAGATATGTTAGAAGACTTGCGGTATATCTTTTATTATCCCCCTTCTGGCTTCGAAGTTTGACATTTAATATTACAACAAAATAATTGCAAATAAATCGGAATGTATAGATAAACACTTAACATGTATATATTTTATAATATATGAAGTAACTTAATTAAATATGAAAACATAATACTATTAATTTTTCATTATTGCATCGTCAATTCGCAAATATGATTCATTAATAATTCAATTTTTTAAAATTCTTTTGCCATCATGTTAAATAATAATCTTTGTTGACATTTAAAAACTCAAGAGATGCGAGAAAAAGTTATAAAAGTTATAAGATTATTTTAATTTCATTGTCAAATTTAATTTTTATCACTTGTTTATTGGATTAAATTCAAATCAAACTTCAATTACTCTCTCTTTTCATATAGATAAAGTCTCTCTTTATGTTACAGCGAAGAATAAGAAACTAAGAAAGCGATTCGAGTCGCGTCTTTATTGGATTAGTTAAGCCTATCATGCCGTTAAAATTGTCTATAGGTAGTCTTGAAAATACTTAATTAACATGTTTAATAGCCAGCAGACATTTATGACGGTATTCATCTACAGCGACGTCATGCACTGAAGGCATAACTTGCATTTATGATACAATGATTATTTTCCTTGCAGATTTTGGATAATAAATGAACTAATTTTAAATTCGAAAAGATGACAAAAAACATAAAAAATAACAAATATAATTACAACGACACATTTGCTGCAAAAACTGACTATTTTGTTTAGAAATAAATGAAGTATTTAATATAAAAACTTAAAAAGCAATCTTTTTTTGTTAGAGTCGCGGATGTTGCAAGGCATCACGAAAAAATCAAAAGTTAATCAAGATATAATTAATCTTATAGAAATTGAATTATTACACAAGTTCACTATAACTTCGAAGTTTCAGCTATATAATTTCAAGTGTGTGATTACATCTGCTCGCGAATAAATTTTCTCTACATTGCTCGGATATATAGCTTCGACATATTATGAGATATTTATATGCGTATAAGAAAAACCCTATAAATTATAGGTTCGTTGAGAATTATATAAAGAGTGAATGCTGATACCGCGATACATAGGCTTGAAACAGTTATGTAAGAGGGTGAGTGTCAATAAAATAAAACATCGATATTATTATTGCATTCGAGAGAATTCATCGAATTTTTATTGCAATAACGTTTTCTACGTCAGATCGCACAAATTCTATTTCTGTAAAATGATCGTCAAATGGTTATTTGTTCCGAGTCAGATAAAATCTTGCGATCGTCACGATTTCTCTTATTTCCGTCTGAGAGTCTTCAAAGTCAATAAAGAGAGCTCGATAAGACGAAGCTTAAGCACGAAAGCGAAGCTTAGAGGAAATACAAGGAAAATGAATGTTTCATATATAAGATGAGAAACGCGCACGTTTGGAATAATTTTCGTGTCAGTAGAAACTTATCTCCAAGCGTGAGAAGAATGTTTTCATAACACTGAAACCATTTGCCACACAAATTAGAAACTTTAAAGAGTAGTGGAATTGCGACTATTTTATGTGATGGAAGAAGATCTCACGTAACAAGAATTTTATCTTATAATGACACATATGATTTTTAGCGAAGAAAATTATATAAAAATTAGAATTTAATGCAGAAACGCAGAGAAAATTAGAATCTAAATTAAATAAAAAATGTATGATACAAAATGTTCAATAGTCTCGCATGAAAAAACATATTATAAGTTACTATTATTTAATTAAAAAATTAGACAAGATATGCAATAAAAAACGAAGCTTTTTAAAATTAGAGTAGGAGGCTCTAATATAAAATATTCAGAAATAAAATAGAAGTGAGCTAATTAAACAGTGAGCGAAACAATTTTATTCAAAATAAAGATTTTAAAATTATTGCAAGAATATAACTTTTTCTCTATTAAAATTAATAATGCGACGATCGTGTAAACAAATATTTTCCATAGGAAAATAGGACATGTTTTTACGATTCTGTTTGGCGACACAGTGACGATGAGATTTCGTTGCCAAGTGTTTGTTAAAAATAAATTCCGTGAAAGACAACCGAGAGAAGCGTGGTATCGGCCGATCTGTCCTGAAAGACCTTACGTGTGTACCTGTGACATCCAACGGGGAAAGTGCCGAGCATCAGAGGGTACACGGTGAGATCGGCAGGTGGGGGATGCCGAGAGAGACGCGTGTGAGAATCTCTGTGGAATTTTGCAAGAGGCGCGCGAAAGACGAGCTCGTCTACCAGCGTGCGAAAGAAGAAAAATTCGCACCGACCTGGCACGATCTATCTTCCAGTTTATAGGAGCACGAGTCGTGTCTTTAATCATCCGTTCTAAATAACGATATATCTTTCTTCCCTCAGAATTCCTGCGCTCATTAGTACTGACGAGAGATCTGGAAAACACTTCGTCTAAAACAAGCTTATTATATGTACGACGACATATATATCAATTTAACTTGACATTTGGTGAGTTATTAAAATTGAAGGGAGAGCTTATCAAAGCTAAGGTATAGGAAAAATCGTAAATTCTGTACTGACAAGAGATCTGTAAAACACTTCGTCTAAAACAAGCTTGTTATATACGACGACATATATAAATTTAACTTGACATTTGATGAGTTATTAAAATTGAAGGGAGAGCTTATTAGCCAAGGTATAGGAAAAATCGTAAATTCTATACTGACAAGAGATCTATAAAACACTTCGTCTAAAACAAGCTTACTATATACGACGACATATATAAATTAACTTGACATTTGGTGAGTTATTAAAATTGAAGGGAGAGTTTGATTAAAGCTAAGGTATATGAAGAATCGTAAATTTCATCCGCATTATTGACTTATATATGGAAAAAAGACATCTCCTGAGGAAAACTTTTGAATAGATTTAATAGTTCACAGTTTAATCAGCGAAGCCAATCTGCGGCGAAGGAAAAATCCAGCGTGCGAAGAAGACAGGAGTCTGTGTCGAGAGAGGAAATCCGCATATGAAGACAATACCATTACCAGTTATGGGAAGCGGAGATTTGTCGAAACGCGTAGATAAAACATTCCGGATCTCTACAATGGGTCTCTCCGTGCTTTCGCTACTCCCTATATATGTCTGTACAGGACTTTTGACAGCAGTACACATACCGGATGTGCGTTGCACAACACATGTGTCTTATTATAATGCCTGTTAATTTAGAACACAGACTTCAACGAACCCGTTCTGATCCATCTTGACGGCAAACCCGTTCTTTTCTCTTTTTTTTTTTTTGACAACTATAAGAATGATATAGAATCGCGACAATCGCGTATCGTCTGATTGTACGTAAATCGCACGAGTTTTAATTAATTAGATTACGAGATAAATCAATGACATGATGTTTCCTTGATCCAATATGTTTTCATTATACATATACGGATTGTTTTAGCAGGTTGTGAGACGTGGACTTTTTTGTAAGATAATTAGAGTCAAATTATAATAACTATTTAAGATCTAGAAATATTGTATACGATAATATTTCGCGTGTCTTGAAATTAGCGGATCGATCGATCGATCGATCAACGGACAAGTTGCTTGCACAACCGCACGATTGGTGTTGCATCTTTACATGCACCGTAAACGAGCTCGTAATTCCCGGCAGAAACGACCGTGCCGTTATAACGTTACTTCACATACGTGGAGAGGAAGGAGGCATATGTGAAGTAACTCCTTACATTTTAAATTCTAGAAATTCTTTCATTAATCCGGATTGTGCGATCGATCTTTTTTTCATATTCGAGTGTGATTTTGTCGGTCAAGTTTAAACATGATATTTACAAGATTACATATTTGGTTATATATATTCAATGATATATGAATAAAAAAAAGATAATTGTTCAAACAAATGCTATCTTAATAATCAATTGCAGCTACGTAATTCTTTTTGAATAAAATCAGCTGATTCTGTCTTAAAATCAATAGAGCACATTAAAGTCCACCATTATCATGATATCCAAACACAAAAATGTGTTAATCACTAATATGTAAATCTCATTAAGAGTAATAGAAAGTTATGCGAAATTAAAACACGTTTTGTAGTCACATGCGCAAATTTTTTCATTATAAAAAATTTCATATTCGACGATATACACGGAGAATTTTCTCTTAGAATTTACTCTGAAAATCATGAAAATTGAGAGACAATATGGTATTGGAAGAATTTTATAAGAGCTTCTCTGATTAATATTTACTACAATAAAAATATTAATATGTATATAGTAAAATTAATCGAACATATTTTTATATTTTATTATGATAGATATAATATTTTTATTGTGGTAGATATTAAAAAATAAGAAAAATTCTTATGAAATTCTTTTACCATATTATCCCACAATTACCATGATATTTTTAGGATAGATTCTAAAAATAAATTCTCTCTGTGTATGTTATGTGTATAAAAAAATAAAAATTTCAAACTAATGATATTTTATGCTTAATAAATAATTGAATGCAGCTATGTGACTTTTCTAAATAAAATCAGTTAATTACGTTATAAAAATCAATAGACGACATTAAAATCGATTATCATCATGATATCCAAACACAAAAATTGTGTTACATCATACTTTCGTACTGATAGCACATACAATTGATGGTTTTATATGTTTCGTTAACAGTATAATAGAAAGTTATGCGAAATTGAAACTCACTTCGCAAAGTTACACGCGCAATTTTTGTTACTGAAAAATTTCAAGTTGTAACTCAAACGTTTCTAATGACAAACGCAAGGAAGAAATGCAATAGAATCAAAGAGGAAACATCGTAACGCAATCGAGCATTGCAACGAATGCGTGAACGCTCGTGCAAGTCACGTTTAATAATAAGTTTTACCTGCACGCACATACACACGCGGCCAAATTGCCGCGAATCCGGTGTAATAGCCATTGAATTATCCCGTAAAGGCGCTTCTTCTTTCGTCCTGAGAAAGCGAGGAAGGGGAGAAAGTTACCGGGAAAATCATCCGGGTCTTCCGAGATCGCGCGTCCTGCTGTTACTCTTGTCCGTAAATCTGCGCGAAGGAGGAAGGCGCCGAGCGCATCTCGCCCGGCCGGTTGCATCTTCCGCGAACCGTTCGACGATTACCTTATACACGCGTCCGTCAGACGATTTACGATTCAAATGATCCGGGAAGGAATAATTGAAATGGAAATGAGCGGAAGCGTGACCTGTTGCGTGGGCTACCGTTTGTGTTCCAGTCGCGCGTGTATCGATCATTGCAGAAAAGACTTATTATGCAAGACATATAGGTATACAATACTAAAGAGTGTTGAAAAAAGGATTAAATATTTTAAGGGGATTTAGAGTGTGTCCAAAAACCAGTCGAAAAATCTTAATAAACATATGAGTCCACAAGTAAACCATTTTTGAGATGTTTTTATTTTTATAATTATTTTTCTTTTCAATTTTTATTTATTTTAATTTATGCAAAAAAAAACAATAGCTATTTTATCTTGTTTTAAAAAAGATGCTGAAAATGATCTTCTTCCATGTCTATGATATTGCAAATATCTCAAAAACGAATCACTTACGGTTTATTAGGACTTTAACATGTCTTGAATATTAAATCTTCTTAAAATTATTTTTCAACACTATATACATTTATAGATTGATTTTTACGCGCAAATCCTCATCATGTAACAAAAATATCGAAACACTAATAATTTTTGATGAATTATAATCGATCGGACGGGAATATAAAGGGATCTCTCGCAAACTTTTATTTACAAAATACCAGTATATATCGTATAATATAGAGAAACGTCGCTTTTCTATCTGTTGGCATTATTAATAATTTCTATTTTTCTGAATATGCACATTTCCGTATATATTACACTAGCATAATAATATTGAAATACTGAAAAATAATGTATTAAATTGAAATAAATATTTATTTCAATACTCCTTTATAAATCATTTATTTGAAACTAATAATAATATTAATTTCATATAAAAAAATATTTATGCAATGTAAGAAAATCCTTTTTTTACATCAAAAAACAGATAAATATTTATTTGTTTTAAACAAATGATTTATAAAAGGAGTATTGAAATATTTATTTGAATTAAATAATTTTTTAGTGTAAAAATGTTCAGTCGAAAAATTGATAAAAATTTTTCATAAAATAAAAACATTTTAAAATAAAATTAAAAGTTTACTTTTCTAATTTACCAAATCATCTTATTGTGCATTTCATCAATGCAAATTGGCAACACGACCAATATAATTTAAAATTATAAACTATTTCATTTTCAATGATTTTGCTTGATTTGTGAGATATCACTCATTAACTTTCTAATTAAATACTGTCTAATATATAGATTTTATCAAATATTTATACATAAATTTATATAATTGCAAACATAGATATGAAAACTTTCTGCAAATATAATGATAAATGAACAAATAATTGTATAATACTAATTGGACAATATATATCCTTAATTGCTTAAATTATAAATTATTATCATATACATAATTAATTTAGAAGGAAAAAGAGGCACTAAATATTAATTGTAAATATCATACTGGAATGGTCAATTTACTATCAATCTGTATTGTAAACAGAGTTATGACAAATATTACAAAATAATTGCTTTATTACAAAGATAAAAATAATATAATTTAATAAGTTTTCTCGTACGTTACTCAATACTTTGACTTATACATTTCATTACAATATTTACATTCATATTTCTTCCTTCTCAGCCAAGCACAAGCTTCACAATTAATGTCAAGATATTAAAGAATATCAAAGGAACTGAAAAGTATTATTATATAAAAAATGTAATCAAAATCTTAAATAATCAGCATTAAAATTACTTACCCCTCATCACAGTTCGTATCGACTTAACAAGATTTAATATTTGGGTTTTAGCTGTCGGAGGTTCTCCAAATCCTTGCACATTTTGCCACGATGCCCAGCCAACTGTAATAATAGTATTCAATGTTAATTTTAATGTGACAATTAAAAAACGCAATACACACATATATTTTGGACTTTATCTTTTTAAAACACTTAACCTATAATGTGTGTTTTTCATTGTACGAAATACCCAAGTAATAAAGGATAACTAAAATAAAACAATGAAAACCATAAATGTGTTTAATTATTACCCTTGGCAAGAAATCTCTCCTCATTTAAAATACAAACTGCATTTAAACATAATAAAGTTGCTTCGAAAAGCGTCCACAATGTAAACGCCATATTGCCGGAATTGTCATGCCAACTGCCAACATTATCGACGTGTACAAAAGATCTGTTTTAGCTACACTCTACACTTTTTATTTTATCCTTTTTCCAATGTAACAAAAAAATTATTCATGTTTTTGCTGACTTTTACCGAAGTTTTAAAAGTTTAAGAAATTTAATAGTATTATCAATTAATACATTTGAGAAAAATTTCTATGGTACATGAAATATTAGTTTTGTATATAATTATTTAATTTTTCTCTTTTTATGGTTGGCGTCTCAAATTTTTCAATTAATTCTTGTTAAGTCCAAATTAATAAAAATTAATTAAAAAATTGGGAAAAATAGAACAATAATTGTATAATAAAATTATTGGTTCAAACACTTCATATTATTTTTCTTACATTTATCATACATAAGATTCGGGAAATTCGAATGTGATATCCCGTCCAGTCAATTGCTTGTACACTGAAGCAAAAGTGTCAACCTGTCAAAGAAGAAACATTAAAATTCAATTATCTATTATAATTACAATAGAATGTTATATAAATATAATGCCTTGAACAAAAAAAAAGAAAATAAATGTACCTTATGTTCAATGTTTGTTTGTTCATTTTTATCAAGATGAACTTTAATAAGCTGCGATCCATCAAGTTTTACTCTGATACGCTTGCCAACGATTTCTACAGGATACACCAAATCCTCGAGTATCGCATCGTAGACAGAAGTCAAAGTGCGGCTGAACAAAAATGGATTATACAATATTAATCATATATACACAGGATTCTATAAATATTTTTTGACATGTTAATTATATTCTCTCTTATTCCCTCTCACCTCCTGGGACGTTTCTGCTTGTTCTTAGTGCGTGTTTTCCTTGTTGGCTTGGGCAAGATTTTACGTTCGCCAATAAACATTACATGTTTTCCAGAAAACTTCTTTTCCAATTCACGTACCAGTCTTGTTTGAATTTTCTGGAATGCCTTCAGCTTTGGCATTGGCACATATATAATGATTGACTGTAAGAAGATAAAACAATTATGATGACTCTCTCAAAAAATAATATATACATATAGCAAAATATATATGTATCCAAATAGATGAATAATAATACTTTAAGCAAAATATTGATTAAGCAAGCATGCATGCTTGCAAATTATAAGAGAATTTTATTATAGATTTTTACATATTTGAACATAAAAAAAGATAGTTAATATAAAAGTTACATAAATAAATTAAAATTAAAATAGCTTAAGTAAAATTAATTGATTGAATGCATGCATGCATGCAAATGAATTAGAGAATTTTCTTTTTCTTATTTTTACATATTTGAACATAGAAAAAGATAGCTAATATAAAAATTACATAAATGAGCTAAAATTCACCTTCTTGTTGTTCGTCTCAATTTCTTTCGCTTTAGTGATATAGAGTTCTCTCAACTGCGACTTGAGATCGCTGTTCATTTCCAATTCGAGAAGAGCTTGAGAAACGCTAATCTCGAATTGATCGGGCTCAGCCCCACCGCTTTTAATTATCTTCGCATTCGTCGTTAACATCTGAAAAAGATATTTTGGGGTTAAGACATTATTGTACATGAAAATCATGAAGCTTTACACAATTATATCATAATATGCAATTTAATGAATTATAAATATACTTATATAATACCAGTATTTTACATTCAAATGATGTATTTTATTCAATATTTAAAAAAAATGCGCATACCGTGCTAATTAGTTTTCCTTTCTTCCTTATAGCTTCTCGCCGCTACACGTCTTCAGAACCACGAGGTTCTGTTCTTCCAGTGTTGCCATAACGTACAAATATTTCGTACCAACTGTCATAAAATTGTACTAGATTTGGTCGAATTTATCGGACGTTTGATTGGTCGCTAACAAGGAACTTTCAAAACCCTAGAAATTATCCATCAAATGACCAATCAATACGTCCGATAAATTTGTACGACAAATGTAAATATTTATCCTGAAGTGTCCAAAGTTGCTCTTGTATTTTAAAATTACAATAGCTGACTTGTCATATCAAATTTGACAATGTAAATCGATATGTCAATTGATTGAATTGTATTGGACAAAAATATTTTCTACAGACGATTGTTTTTGTTTGCGTATTGCAATAGTAACCTTATGTACGACCGCTTTTTTTCATAAAATTTATAATTGTTTACTGACACAAGATTTATTTTGAAGCTATTACTTATTTACAAGAGTAATATATTTGTCTTTGTCTTGCAATATTTATGCATCTCTGGTTCTACCTCTTCTATGCGCATATGTATTATGCAAGAAGACATTAACACAGATAGTTTTATCAGTTATTAGTGTCATTATTACAGGTAATGAAAGAAAGATTTGAAAATTGCATTATTTGCAGCTTAGAGAATTTGTAAAAATTCAATATTATTTTTCATGTAAAGTGAGCTGGATTTATTTTGCATAATACATGTTTGTATGCTGGAAGAGATATTTTCCTTTAATTTGAAAGATGGTATGTGCTATTTGTAAATTTGTTTACAGGAGATATATCAAATTTGCATTACACACAATGTCGACAATGTCTACATCATCATCTATGGATGAGCGTATGTTGAAAGGAATAAGAAAGGTGATACCGAGTCTGATCAACACCAAGTACAAAGGTCAGGATGGCAGAATTGGAATATTTGGTGGCAGTACTGAATATACAGGAGCACCATACTTTGCGGCAATGAGCGCATTGAGAACTGGTGCTGATCTTGTTCACATTTTCTGTGCGAAGGATGCCAGCATTCCTATTAAATCATTCAGCCCAGAGCCAATAGTTCATCCAGTATTGGATCAACACGATGCAATAAAGCATATAAAACCTTGGCTTGATCGCCTACACGTTGTCCTAATTGGGCCTGGACTTGGCAGAGATGAAAAAATATTTAAAATGATTGTTGAATTAATATCTGTTTGCCGTGAAATGAGAAAACCACTAATTATTGATGCGGATGGATTGTTCCTAGTTTGTCAGAAGCCAGAAATCATAAAAGATTATCCAGGAGTTATTCTGACACCAAATGCAATGGAGTTTAGTCGGTTGGTTAAAGCAATACTGGAAAAGTCTATTCCACCTACTCCTCTAGTTAAAGTTTCTGATGTCAAGCATGTAGCAGAAGCTCTTGGGAAGAATGTAATAATCCTGCATAAAGGAGCAAAAGATGTGATCGTGGATGGTCATAAGGGTACAGAGACTGTATCATGTGGATTGGCTGGTTCTGGAAGAAGATGCGGTGGACAGGGAGACCTTTTGGCTGGCTCGTTGACTGTTTTTTGGTGGTGGGCTATCTCTATGGGAACTAGCGAATGCGCTTTGTCACCTTCGATCGTAGCGTGTTATGCTGCGTCGAGATTAGTTCGAGAATGTAATGCATCAGCCTTCAAATTACGACAAAGAGGAATGTTGACGTCGGATATGCTGGAACAAATACAGCCAGTTTTTAATAAGATCTTTGAGACTCATTGCAACAAGTAAATTATATAAATTCTTAATGATTATAATCTTCTCTTTTATATTATTGTTTTTGTTGGAGTAAAGTTGAAGTTTATTATTCTCTTATATTAAACAAAAGGATAATTATATGTAAATATAATTATGTATATATAAATATGTCAATGATTGTTATTGTTATTGTGGATTTTAGAACTTGCTCATTTAATGGAAGAGGTCGAATTCAAAGTACTGATTCGTGAAACATATACATTCTCATAACATTATATATAATCTATAAAGAAACTTTGATTAATATATTACAGAAATTAGAATATGTACGTGGCTTCAAGAAAATGTTTTAAACAAATATGCCTATGTATTATATGTATTTTTATATGGGGTTTGGTACTTTTGGAGGGCTCATATAAATAAATATTTTTATAAAATAATATCAGTTTATTAATATTATCAAATGATCCAATTTTTTTGATTGAAAAATATCTTTACATTATTGACTAATTACATTGAATCATGATTACAATAGTTATAATAGATGTTTTCTGAAAAAAATGTATATACATATAAGATTCATTTCGTACAATAAAATAGTTATGAGATAAAACAGAATGAATAAATATGTTTTAATGTATCTGTTTAAAGTTATGTTGCATTGTTTTAGTTGTACAATATATACTTGTGAAATTTTTGTTACTTATCACATTATAAATATATATTTTTATACTGTCTTTACTGTATATGATGTAAATATAATTAAGTTGGAGAGAGTTATATCTACATGTAGCACATTTCTCATAGCAAAGTAATTTCAAATAAATAATTAGACATTTTCACAAATTCCGAAAAGAAAATCTTCGGCATATTTTTTGTTCCTCGTAATTTCAATATGATTACCCAGTCAAGAAATTATAAACTTAATTTACTTATCAGAATTTCTTTACAATAATATATATTCTTTGATATGACAATGCGATGTGCACGATGGATTTTATTTTAGATACTCTATGAAATATTTCTTTTCTCCTTAAAGAAAAGAGAAAAAAATAATTATAGAAACAAAAAAATTTATTTTTGTTTACATATTTAATTATTTCTTTTTGTCAAAAATGTTTGATTAATTATTTTTATGGTGTTTATGTCATATTTTATATACTAATTATATATATAATTATAATGAGACGAACTGTCGAATTATCGTTATGGAATTTATTATGTCATGTTACGGTCTTAAACTCTTATTCAAAAATTTTCATTCACAGTTTCGTTCAGTCGTAATAATTATACACCAATTAATTATAGTAAACTGCTGAAGTTGTTGAGTAATGAAAAAGCTATCAAGAAACACTGTTCTACAGGTACCAGAGTTATTTTGCTATACTATACTTATACATATAATGAGTTAATTTCTTAATTCTATAACTTACAAGTCGACAGGATGAAATATCATAAGGTTGATCTATGAAGTACAAGTATAAAAACACAAAAGGAGTCAAAAGTATTGGCGTATCTACACGATCTTTTGGCAATAAATATTCCGAATACTGTGCGTATCTCTCCGCGTTGGAAAGAGATCTTTGCAATAAGGAGAGAGATTTCTCGTGGCGCGATTTGACGCAAATCACAATTAGTTAATTAATTAATTATTAGCTAGATTATAATCGATAGACTACGAGTAGAACGTCAATACGGATGTGTGATTCCCGCGGATCAAGATCGTCGGTGGCATGTCTTTTGTGAGCGTTTCCAACCAGGCCATATATAATGGCGCCGAAACTGCACCCTTCCTTGGCATCGGCAAGGACCTACAAATCACAAAAGTATTCTTGTGAAATCAATTAATAACAATGTAAAATAATATGTAACAGTTGCAAATGACACATGTGAATTATATACAGAGAGAATTTTCTCTTATTATGTTAGAATTTATCTTGAAATTCATGGTAATCGTATGGAACAATATATGATACATTGGAAGAATTTTATAAGTTTCTCATCTGATTAAATATTTATACACAATAAAAAATATTAATATCTATCACAATAAGATATAAAATATTAATGTTTAATTAATTTTACTACAATATAAAGTAAAATTTCAATAATTTTAGAGTATATTAAAAGCTATATATTAAAAACTTATGTGATTCTTTATGAGTGTTTAAGTATAAGAATATAGGTAACAAAACTGACAATGATAGTTTGATTTATAAGTCGACACAATTATACTTTCATATATACGTAACTTTCCGCTGTATTAACAAATCTGCTTATAAATACTTTTATGTAGTATATATAATATAATTATATCATGTCGTTTAATCTAACCGAATATAATTGCGCGCAAAGCGAAGTTATATTATTTTTTGATAATAGAATCTTAAAAATTGGAATGTATATACATACAAATTATTATATTGCAATGCATGCATAAATACATTAATTAATTATGCAATGCATAAAATTCAATATTAGGTTAGTCGACACCCCACACATCTATCACGGTGCGCGTCTCGCGCGACACTGATTCTCGTGCGAGATATCGCGAGTACGAGATTGATGGTCACGTGATTAGTTTGCGCGAACCGCGCAGCGCAGTGGACGCGTGTACAGACGCGCGAATCTAATGAAAGAGCAAATATTTTGATCGAAAGATTCTTGTAGAAAATTCAATTTTTTGTTTTTTGTTAATATATCGAATTTTTATATGAATCATATAATTAATAAATATATTTTTAAGCATGCATTGCAATAATAATTTTATACATGCGTTTCAATTTTTAAGGTTTTAATATTAAAAAACATAACTTTGCTTCACGCACATAATTATATTCGATTAAACTAAACGAAATGAGAAAAAATATATAAAGATACATTGTATATACAAAATAGTTCTGAATCAACAACAGAAATTCGGTGAATTAAAATTATGTAAAAAATTCCCGAATTTTTATTATATGTATATAATAAAAATATCTTTGAGATATAGCATGAAGAATTTTTGGATTTTGACAAGTATATACAATATATATATATATATATATATATATATATATATATATATATATATTTCTCTAGTTCTTTAAATATTTTTGTATTGATAATAATAAAATTTACAAACTTAATTATAAAAATGATTTTATTACTCACATTATTACCAAGGTGGACTGACTCGAGTTCTCCAACACTAATTCTCGCAATCGCAATTGTCGGTACGTTTTATCCCGTAAATTCTGAAGCTCAAAATCGGTAACGTAACATTCTGAAAATAATAATAATTAGCAGTTCATCAATATTAAATTGGTTTCAAATCAGTATCGTTAGAGTTATGACAATCACTTACCCGAATTGTCAGAAGGATCGTTCATTCGAAAGTCGGATATTAATTTGTCGAAAAAAGACATAGTCTCCTGTTTCGGTTCGATGCTGATATCATCTACCATCTTTAAACTGCTGTATTTTATTCGAGCCTTGCACATTATTTCATCCATTCTATGCGATAATATTAATAATATAAGTAAAATAATTAATAAATATAAATAAACGTAGTCTTAGAATAAGACTTTTGTCTATATGATATTATATATATTTATTCAAGTATAGGTATACTTCTTCGCGATAAATTGTTGAAGTGTTTTGTATGCTTTATTATAGAATGTTTTATGTCTTTATTTTTTATACTCACTCTTTTTCTTGCGCACCGATATCCTGTTTATGATTGGCAAGAGCAAATATTCTTATCTTGCAGGTCTCCCAATTAGAGCGTGTACTAATTATATATGGTAGAAGAATTGTCAGACCTATCGAATGATCATTTTTGTCATTTACATGAATCAAAAATCAACGTGAGCTTTATACATAAATGATTGAAATAACATGCGTCTACATTGACATATTCAATCATTGATACATACATATTACATAATTCGCTTCAATTTTAAATGACTTACCTCCGTCATCGTACAACCACCATACGTCAATCGTTCCTTTCTTATGTTTCTTCTGGAAAACTGTTATACTTTCTGGTATAGAAGCCATACCATTGCGTTTTTCGCTAAAATAATAATCAATTGTTAATAGCAAATAAAGATATGATCTAATTTTTTATCGTAACTTATGGAACAATTTTTTTAACAATATACAAAAATTTTTAATTGGAAATATAATAGGCAAAGATATTTTTTAATTTTGAAAATTAGAGATATGTGGATAAGATAAATTTTAACAATATAAGTAAAAAAATAAGTTTTATTTCTCAGTTAATTTTAGGTGACATTATTAGAAATTTGATCTATTTAAAAATTTTTTAATGTTAAAAATTCAAAAATTAATTTTTAAAATGTCATCGAATTTTCAAAGTTATAGAGATTTGATTTTGAATTTGACAAAAAATTTTCATCAATATTTAACATGATAAAGTCCACGTTACGTTGATACTTACAGTAATTTATCAGCAGCAATTTTTTTCTTGTGTTTTAAATTTTCTCGAGCATTCCAATGTACTGGAGAATCTCTGATCATATGCATTACGTCATGCGAGACAAATGGAGTACCTATAAAATAATATATTAAACTTAAATATATCGCAAAATATTTTTATTAAAAAACTGATTGCACTTTTTTCGTGATTTATTTATTATATGTACACGACACATTTTTATTTAATTTTATTAACTTGAATAAAAACAGAAAAAATAATAATTATCCGTGTCGAAAAAATAATAAAGCAATACAATTTTGTACAATTGCAATTAATAACAGACTATCAAGATACAAAAAGCAATATAATCTTTTTCTTCGTTTTAATATAAATTTTTACCTATTGTAGGCACACTTTGTACTCTGGGAATCTGCGTGCTCATAGAAAGATCACTGTCGGCGTGCATCAGAGTGTTTCCTGCTAAATCATAACTGCTCTGAGCAAGGCCTCCGTGTTCATCGTCGCCATTCCCATTTGTGATAGCAGAGCAGTCCAAACCTTCGGCGATTCTCAAGATTGCCACAGCCAACTTGTGATCGAAAGCATTGCTAGAAAAAAGAGAAACGTGAGTTTAATTTTTGAATATAGTCATCCTCGATCTGCAATCTTCGGATTATTGAGGAAGCTACGACTTACTGAAGAACGTTGAAGTATTCCTGCAGATCCTTGTGATTGCATGTCGCCCAATGAGTCTTGTAACCCATGAGGACCACGTTGGGGGCTAATTTGCCGACTCCGCTGGCCTGCATCAACGCGGCAGCACCTCGTTCCAGATTTAAATCCTCCACCACGTGATAAAACGATTTTATACGTTGTTGATGTAGCCAGGAATAACCGCTTCTTAAGCGCGCGGAACGTAACCGATACGAGAGTCGTGTCTAAAATCACATTTCGAGACTTAGCGACACAGAAACGGCGATACAAATATAATATAAATAAAATCGCATTTCACGTACCGGAAAGACTTCGCCGGAAATTAGCAAGGAATTATTCTTTGTAATGATGTTTGCCAAATGTGTCAATGCTGGTCTCGCTCCAGGAGGACCAGTAAGCGCCAGAATCTGAGGAGCGTAATTTTTCACGTGCTCGTCGATGGAATTTAATCTAAAAATTGTATCATAAATAATCATTACTTTATAGTTTTCAAATAAAAAAATACGTGGTGAAAAAATTATTATTAATAAAAATAGATGAAAGAATTTATAATTTTTATTCGATAGTTAATTGCGAAAAAATTTATAATTTATTTAAAACGATAAATATTACTTTAATGATACCTGTAAACGATGGAAAGTGCAGTTTTATAAGTTTGCGCCTGTGTGCTGCTGCCCCAATTTACATCCGGTTTACGATAAACTACTATAAGATACAGCGCAAAGATGACGACGAAGGTGATGAGCGAAGTCACCCAATCAATAAGGAACATAATCGCAACGCAAAGAATGAATCCGAACAAGGATATCCAAGTATTGTAATACTGAAAAAAACAAGTATTATAATATTGAAAAAAGATATTAATAATTAGATTGCTGCACAACACATATATTTTTATCTCGCGATTACAAGGATATTTAATGAAAAATTTCTTAATATTTCTTCAAACTCATTTAATTTTAGCAAATATTATTAATTAATTAATATAATTAATTATTAATAATATACAAAAATTAATTGTTATATACTTATATATGTGCTGAATGAATTATAATATATGTAATTAAAATTTTCCTTTTTTACAGAATTTTTTTTAGATACAAGAGGAAAGAAATTTCAAAATATCGAAATATCATTAGAATTAAGCGTTTAGACGGTTTTTTTCAGTTTTTAAAATAAATAAATAAAAAAGGTATACTCTCTCTTACTTTAAAACTAGGCCGCCATCCGAGTGGACGGACCAGCGCTGCGTGAAAAGTGCAGAAATTGATTAAGGCGTACGACGCTAAGTAGAAGTTCGAGATCAATGGTGCGACTGCGTTAAGATTGGCTGAAAGGAAAAATTAATTGAAAGCTTCCAGGATACAAAATGAACGATAATAGTTCACGATAACTTAATTCGAGTTAAGGTCATGATGAACATCGAAATAGATACGTTACCGATTAAAAGAAAGAGAGCCGCGACAGCAAACGTGAGGACGTATCCTCGATAAGGTTCCCCGGATTTTCCGTATCCTTTACTGAAGAAGAACAACCAGGGATAAATTCGATCTTGACCCAGAGCCTGAATAAGCCTGGGCACCGATAATAAATTTGTTAGAGCCGTTGACAAAGTAGCCGCGAAGCAGCCTGCATAAATCAGCGGGCCCCAAACGGACATCAATTGCATGACCTAAAAAAAGATACGTGTCAAAGAATAATAACTAGTTTGCATCTTACAATTTCTTGGTAAATAAGAGAATTCTTCACTTCTACAGCAATGCTTTACAAATTGTGTTAGATATTCTTTGAATTAATTTGCGATAAGATTATCAATTAATTATTAAAAAGCTTTAAAATATACATACACACAAATTATAGATTTTAGAGATCTTGACGAAAAATTATCATTGCTTTGATTTTGAAAAGAAGAGAGAAAAAATTGTAATATTTCTGATTAAAAATTTATTATTTGAAGAGAAAGTTAAAAGAAAATACTGTAATAATTTCGAGACACATTATTATCTTAAAATTTTACCGAATAACTATTGTGCAGTCCATAAGTGCAATTGTTGGAAATGCATTCCACGATAGTATTGTTTACGAAGCCACCTGCATCTCTGGCGGCCGCTGCACCAGCAAAGAAGACGAAAATCACATAACTAAACATAGAGATCAATAGAGCGAGAAGAGTTCCCATTGGTATACTGCTTGCTGGATCCTTTAAATCACCGGAAATGTTGGCACCAGCTTGAATGCCGGTGACGGATGGAAAGAAAATAGCAAAGACCGAGAAAAAGGTTTGATTGTTGTTCTCAGAGTACCGATAGTCCGACCAGAAATTGTCCATAAATACTGTTGCTAAAATTATTAATTAATTCAATTTAATTAATTTTGTTATTACATTATCTTTAAATAAAATCATTTTATTGCATAGCATTATATTATATACTATCACTTTGTATTAATTGTATTTTATACTTACATGAAAAGCCTATGAAACCTTTCGCCTCTTGTTCCTTATTTTGTGGTCCCATAATAGTTCCAATCAAAAAATCCAGAATTGCACCCAAAATAACAGCTATAAGGAAGTTTTGGGCCTAAGCGGAAGCGCAAAGTCCGTCAATCATTTATCAAAACTTAATTAAATTACAAATGTTTTTCTTTATATTATATTATATTATATAATTTTTTTATTTTTTGTATTGATAAATATTTTATAAAATTTAAAAAATTCACGATATTTTAATATTTTCCGAGATAAAAACTAATTTAATACCTTTGACTCCCACTCCATGCCGACCGCACAAATAAGAATCATAACGATAAGCGCTATTATGCCGACGATTCTAATGTCATTCACGCTGTTATCTATAATTCTCAAGCCGTATGTTTTCAGTAAATCGTTGAGTGAGTCACAGAAACCGATCGTGTTCATCGAAGCTGCCACAGCATTTGCGCATGCAAATACGATACCAACAGATGCACCAAACTCCGGACCAAGAGAACGAGATATGATAAAATATATTCCACCTGTAAGTAAATTATTTTTGTCTTTTAAATATATTTTTCAACAACGCACAAATTTTTACAATTTTTTAAAATAAAAATAAATATTTAAAAATTATTTAACCTCTATATATTTTTATATATTTTTATATATAGAAAATGTGTCAAAAGATCTTTTTACAAGTCATGCGAATTAAATTTTCTTTTAAAGTGGCAAGCAACTAAAGTTAATTAAAAACAGGATATTTTATATTGAGATCGTTTATTCAAGAATACTATAAAATTCTAAAACTTTGCATATGTATCATTTTTTTTTTTTAAATAATATTCCAAGAACTTTTTCTTTTGAAGAGAAAAGTTCGGAAAGAGGGAAAGATGTTTAAACTACGTATATAAAGTGATGTATATGTACGCGATGCCACTCCTTTGAAAAAGAAATAAGAATTACAGAATGCGTTACTGTAACACACCTCCCTTTACTTCCCCATTAGTGCTAATTGCGCTGAGGCTAAGCGTCGTAATGACGCAGACGACCGCCGATATCCCGATAATGACGATGCTATGCAGAATACCGGCCTGCGCGACTACCCACGAAAGTCGCAGAAACAGCATTACGCCCCATATGTTTAGCAGGCACGGTATGAGGACGCCTTGGATCCATCCTAATTTTATTCCGCCGTGACCCTGTTGACCGGCGACGCTCCCGACCTGCCCGGTCTCGACGGCATTGGCGTCCTGAAAACGACATTTTTATTTAGAATCACGATCTGTCGCGCAATTCGAGCTACGCGGAAAATCATAACAAAATATTATATTAGAGAAAAATTTAATCATTTATTACGTAATGCATGTGCGTGTCTTAATATTAATTATATATAATAATTATATATATAATTATATATATAATTATATATAATAATTATTATATATAAAAAAAGAATATTTCGAGAAATAATTCAAATAAGAATTCTGTATATTATTACGCCTTAATTTACTAGGGAACATACACAAATATGTTGAGTTATATAACTATATATAATAACTATTATAATATATAAAAAAAACGATTATTGCAATTTTTTGCAATAGTTACGAAGTTATTCACGTATTGCAGATAACGCTTTATTGCATAAATTTTTACTTTACTTTAGTCCACATTTTTTATCTGCTATATTGCGTTTGTAATTTTAACGCCGCTCTTCGGTTATGATGTAAGAAACAAAATATTATCATCAAATACATTTTTTAAAGATGTTCCATCTTTGTACAGTGATGTAAACATTATATAGCAATCTTGAGAAAATTATGATGGAAGATTTTAATATATAAAATGCGGCGATTAAATTTTTTTTTTTCTAAATCTCAAATTGATAATATCAAGTTATAAACGTAGTATTTGGCTTTTCATTTTTATATCGAACATTCTATACATATGACATAATTGTGTTTAAAAGAAGAAAATGCATGCTTTTTTTAATAAGACAGCCTTGTTGGAAAAATATATTGTAATATACTAAATTAGCAATTTCTTCTCTCAAACTCTTGGATGCTTATAAGCATTCTACACAATACATGATTCTTTTTCTAATCCCCCTGGACGGATGTTTACTGCTGTGTAAACTTAATAAACTTGTTTCGCCTTGCCCAGTTTTGTTATCTCTATGACTTCGATCGTCTTCGAAATAGAGTTAAGAAATTAGAGTACGCGACGATTCTCTTATCAGCTAGAAAAATTTCAGATAATATTACGTTAATTCTACAAATAAACATTTTTAAAAAAGCTATTGACCGTTGTGCACAATTTTACTTAAAAATGTAACTAAAATTTTACTTTAATATGTTTGTCAACTTTTGGTTCTTGAATATAACAAAAGTTTTACTTGAAAATTTAATTGTACGACACATGATATAAATTTTGGTGCACATTTCATTTTGAAGGTAAAGAATTATTATATTTTCTTTACCTTCAAAATGAAATGTGCACCAAATTTATATCATGTGTCGTACAATTAAATTTTCAAGTAAAACTTTTGTTATATATTCAAGAACCAAAAGTTGACAAACATATTAAAGTAAAATTTTAGTTACATTTTTAAGTAAAATTGTGCACAACGGTCAATAGCTTTTTTAAAAATGTTTATTTGTAGAATTAACGTAATATTATCTGAAATTTTTCTAGCTGATAAGAGAATCGTCGCGTACTCTAATTAGAAGGTAAAGAAAATAATTCTTTATCTTCAAAATGAAATGTGCACCAAAATTTATATTATGTGTTGTACAATTAAATTTTCAAGTAAAACTTTTGTTATATTCAAGAACCAAAAGTTGACAAACATATTAAAATAAAATTTTAGTGTATATAATATTGCACATGCAATAATAATCGGTAAAAAGTGAACGTTGTCAATGTATAGCGAGATTCTAAATATGTGTTCTTCGAACCGGAAAAAATCGATAAATATTCAAATCTATTCGACCGATAAGTCTCACTGTTGCAGCTTATATTATGATAGGAGTTTTAGGTATATTTACATTGCAATAAAAGTTGAAATATAAAAGTTTTCCACTGAAAATTCGTATATTCGCGACAAAGTATTTCAAATATACGTAAGTTCTCTCACCTTTATAAGATTTCCTTCATGCAAAGTACTCAAAGACGGTCTTTTTGCACGACGGCTTAATCTATAAAAGAAATTTTTGATATATATTTTGATATAATAAAATTATTATACCATTAATCTCTAATTTATCCGGAATTTAATCCTTTTCGGATAAATGTATGAAAAAATATTAATTATTTCTTCATATTTTGAATGTGCAAAAAGTTAATTGGTTTCCCTAGTACGTTTTAAATGAATGAAATGCTGGAAATTGTTACATTTTCATGCCAAAACGAATAGGCGAAAATCTCCCAGAGCAAATTGATTAAATATTAAAAATTTTTCTCTTTTTTTCCAATTTATGTATCAGTAATTAAGAAATATATATATCTATAATATAGACATTGTAATAAAAAATTGAAAAAATCATAGTTTAATTATTATATAAGAAATAAAACGTTTAATCTTCTAAGTTGTTATAGTTTCAATGTACTATTATAATTTAATAGTTCCATTTCAAAATTGCAAATTTGTTTGATCAGATTGCAAACATAAATTTTAATTGAATTAATCCATACCTATAATGATCCAATCGAGGAACCACATCCCACAATCCGCTCATGTTTAACGTCATTGTAGATCTCTTATTATTTTGCTGCAGCTGTCCAATCGTATCCTCTTCCGGTGCTTTGCCCTGAAAATGACTCTCCATTTCGCCGTATCTGAAAATGCATTTAATAAGCGATGCTTTATTCATTTTCCGACTGTTCTGTGCATGCAAATTATTATTCTCCTGTGCACAGACGGTTGAATAAATTAAGACCAAGGAGCTGACACAATTGTAGCGCAGTTACAATGTAAGAAGACACGCGGCAAAAGAAACTGTTAAATAGAAACCATTTATTTGCGCGCTTTTATGCACAGGTGCATATATTCTGTTTAATGTATAATTACTTAATGCTATTGATGTAATTGTGGAAATTAATGTCGAGAAAAATTCAAAGCGCGACGTGTGATTCAATATCGACCCGAAGGTCTGGTCGAGCGATAATTGGAAGCGGAGACAATTAAGGTCACATATCGGAGTCTTGTTTCGCAGTTTTCCCAGAAAACATTAAGATTATTATTTGTGAGCAATGAATCAGATGGCAATACATCTGGCTATTATATTTCAATTAATTATTAATTAATACTATTGACCTGTGCTAGGATAACTCGTCTTTCGTATAACACGTTATATCTAACAAGTTATTATATCCTGAATCTATAGAAGTAAGACAGGTCATTGTGTTGGAGAAAAGAAAACAGTTAATAAATGTCTCAGACTGTGACATGTTTATGTTGCAGTGAATGCGGAAAGGATTATTAACGTTACTATATGTATAGATTTATAAATGGCAGATGATTGTATTTTGCGACATGTGAATTTTCGTGCAAATATTTGGCAATGTTCCCAAACTTTAATACGTACGGTTCAACGTTTTGCAAGTTCGAAGATTTATTCGCAATGTCACGAATAAATATATATATATATATGTATGTGCGATACTATATGAGATTTTCTTCGATGACGCATTCGCGGAAAAATTACAGTCATGCCAGAATATTATTATATGATATTTTTAAATAATATAAATCAATATATCATTATATGTATATTGATTTATTATTATACATATATATAATAAATCAATATATAACGATAAATATATTGATTTCATATATTATTTAAAAATATCATATAATTCGTAAATTAATAAAACACGTTAGAGAATAAATTATTATCTAGAATAAAAATTAATGCGATCGAATTAGGTGTCTAATCTTGATGCATTACGTCAAGATTTTTATGATAATACGAGACGTAAACAACAAATTACGCGTTTGTCACGTTCTCGTTGCAACGCGATCGATACTTTTTACGAGGTCGAGTACTGTACCAAGTAATTTAATAAAGAGAGGGAGGTTTCTGAAAGAATCTATCAAAGAGATGCACCTCATTGAATGTTTGTTGACGTCAGGCATTCGTCTACACGCTAATGTAAAATAATGTAATAGGATAATCTGGGAGATTATGTTTTCGGGATAACTAAAACTGTTTTAGAAATAATTATTTGTTGAAACAAAGTAACTCGCAAAAAGAAAATAAATAGAATTCTATATTTATTTAAATTAATTAAAATTTGATGTCACACTTTAAACAAGTTTGATAATTTTTAAAAGTTATTCTATAAAAACCTTGTCGTACATAAAACCTTGTATTCTATAAAAACATTGTTTAGATTTTAATAAAATTAAAATTGATTTTATCCTAGCAAACTTTCTCTTTGTGTAGCCACATGTTTAAAAAGAAAAAAGAAAAAACCATCTTATATACATGTCAAGCTCTTTTTACAGAAAAAAGAGTGAAAGGACATAAAGAGACGAAAGGAAAAGGTCTAAAAAAATGAAAAAAGGAATTTCTATAACGTGAATGTATATAACGATTCTGAAAAAAAATTTCGAACAATTTTTCTCTCTTGTAAAATTCTTTTTGTACCGATGCGATGCGCGAGACGTCAAAGTGCATAATTGTAAAAATCAACAAAAGGAACAACACTGTAACTTGAAAAATTGCGTCCGATTTTCATCAATGATGAGTGCCCGAGGCGAGGTACGATTCGTTTGCGTCGGATATTGTGCAACGCGCAATGCCAAAACAAATAAATCCGCGAAAATCTCGGCGCCAAAGCCTTCTCCGCCTTTTGCTGTATATTCACTATTTTTTTCCATCCAACTCGATAACGATCATCATGACCATGAACGTGTGCCTCTCGTTAACGGTTCCTATCCCTTTATATCACTCGACTCGAGGGGACAAGACAACCATCGATTTATCTCGCTTGTGTGACAGTCTAGCAGATAATCGATCAAAATGATACGTCAGTCTTGCGTCCTTTCATCGCATGATTAAATCAATTTTATCGCGAAAAAAAAACGATAACGCGTTTTCGGCGTGTATCTGCTGTCTTTGATCTTTTCTTGATGATACATTTTTGCAAAATTATATTTTACATAATTATTACAATATGCATTCAAAAATTTGATAGTATTTACGATAAATGAATTTATATATGTTCTTGTTAATTACTTCAATTATTATTATTATTATTATTTAATGTACTTAAAAAATAAATTAATATTTAATTTTTCCAAAGCTTTCTTTCTCTCTAGCTCTCTTTCCTTTTAGGTATGTATAATAACAATATATTTAAATGACACTTATTCCATGTGCTCAATGATTAATGATAAAAGTAAACTTTATACACGTGATTCCATAATTGTTTGTCATAATAAATACAATGGTATTTTATATGCGAAAGACATATCTTATGCGAATGACAATTTACGATTAAAAATGAACAGTCATTGACAAATTACAAATTCCAAACAAATTATATAATACTTTCGAATATTTTTGAATTATTGGCTGCAATATTTGTATATATATATATATATATATATATATATATATATATATAATATATGTGCAACATTTAATTAAACTTAAACTATACAATATTGTATACAATATTGCATATATATGACATATATATATTTACTGAAATCGATTAAAATTTAATCAAATTATCCATTATGATGAAACAAAATTATGATTTAATAGATTTGTTTCTAAATAAAATTCATAAAATAATTTATATTATAAAATCTCTTTTTTAACAAAAATGTATCTTTGTATGTTAAAACTTTGATAGATATCAAATAATCTATTAGTCAAAGAAATTACAGTAATAAAAATTTTTATCAAGAATTCTTTGACTTACATCATTTATAAAATAACAAGAAGTATACAATTAAGTTTAAATTATACTGACAAATAAATTTAATTTGAATAAATGATAATAATATTGCAAAGGAAAAGAGGAAAACAGCAAGAGAACGAGAGTTTAAAAAAATTTATCTCAAAAGGTTATCAAAGTCTCTTTAAATAGTAAATACATCAGATATTAAAGTTTAATAAATAGATCAAATCTAAATAAAAGTTAAAATATTTATATTGCTATAAAAATGTTTAAAAAGAAAGAGAGAGAGAGAGAGAGAAATTAAAGGAATAAAATATTAACAGTTTTATATTTTGGCACGGATAAATAAAATATTGTTTTTTATTTTGCACATATTTATATATATGTTTTTAAAATAGAAATAGATTTAAAATATTTAGAAAAAAATCGTAAACTTATAAAACTTTCAAACGTTGAATAAATATTTGAATAAAATAAATACCTTGTTAAATTATATAAATTATACCTTAACAATTATACTCAAGAATGCAAAAATGCATATAATTCGTGAAAAATTGATAAGGTTGAACCCGTCTATTAAATGCACGCTTTCGATGAAAACAAATTAAATTAGGCGAGAGATATAGATTCCAATTTAGATGGACTCGAGCACAAAGTCTACTCGATACACACTTGTTAATATATATATCTTACATTCCATGAGGTACCATAATCAAGAACGATAACGAGATAACTGTACTATATAAATATGGGGGATAAAACAAAAATTTGTGATAAAAAATCGCGCCGAAATTCCGGGAGTAAATAATTTTTAATCAAAACTTACGAATCCGGTTGGAAGACCATGACGATGGAAATTCCACGCGAAATCACATATAACACGCGCGCGATCTGCGAAATGATCCGCGAGGATCTAACACGAAGTACTGAGAGCGTCGTGAAAACTTGAACCCCTCGTGGATCAAAACCCCTCGAGTATAGACATTAAAAGGAAGGAAGCATGCGTCGAATTTCCCTTTCCACGGACGTTCACGCGCACCCATATGCTCGCGCACGCATATACATATACGACCGAGATTTCGTATGCATGTGATTGATACGAGTGTAATATTAAAAAAAAATCAATCTATATATAAACTCTTAATTCCATTTTATCTGGTAACAATTCACTTACCGGTGTGAGACAAGATTGACAGCTGCTCCGTGAAGAGTCAAATACGATGTGAATTTCTTTCGCTAACTTGGGGAGGTTTTATTTTAGAGAAGATATTTTTTTCCAATGAAAATAATTGAAGGTTTTGAAAGAGGGGATTTCATTGTAATTTTGTACAGCGCGAAAAAAGTTGAGAAAGGATCAAATATTAAAGTTGACAAGAAAAAAGATATTTTACTTTGAAATAAATACACGGCGATCTCGCGGGTATAAGACAATTTCATTGAAATATTTATGGCTGGAAAAGAATAAAACTTTTTTTTCGAAGAACATATATTTGAAACAATTTTTGGTCATTGCGTTACAACTCTGTCTAGTATTTTACCTTACTTAAAAAAAAATACAAGAGAAACAAAAATATCTTTATGGAAAGATAAAGTCAACGAAAATTGTCAAGACAATTTGATAATTTTTAAAACTAAATATTTTTAGTGAAATATGTAAAATTATTAATAATTAAATGTATAATAAATTAAATGTATAATAAATTAAATGTATAAAAGTAATGTAAAATTGATGTAAAATTTTATCAAATACAGAATTAAATAGAGAGTAAATTTATTATTTCTATATAATAAAATCTATTAATATTTTCTATAAATATCGATTAAAAATTCTTCTCTCAGATTGAATCTATTTAAAAAAATGTTTCGACGTGTTTACATCAAATCAGCTATGTAAGAAATTGTTGATGACAGTTTTAAATTAATCCTACGATATTCGAAGGGTTAATAGCTACGAAGCCATATATTCGCAAGCGTGCGAGAATGTGTGAGCATTTTTCAGCTTGCGTGGGCGGCTGCATTTCGTAAACTTCGACCCTCGACGGTGGAGCAATATGAAGGGAAAAAGGAGGGAAAAGAAGAAAAGAATGCGGCTTCGGGAGAAAACGAGTGATTTTCATCGCGCTTCGCGGAACGAGCATCCACACGAGATGAAATGACGAGAGACGACAGAAGGTTTCGCGGTGCAGATTTTTTTTTACATCTCGAAATGCTTTGATTCTCGCATCCCAATGCGACAGGCGACGCTTTTACGCGCGTAAATTATACTTACCTATATGAAAAGCACAGAGAGAGAGAGAGAGAGAAAGAGAAAGAGAGAGAGAGAAAGCTCGTGTACATAAAAAAATTCGTAAAAAATGAGATGTCGAGAGATCTTTTACGCATGTAATTAAGAAGACGTTTGACTCACCTCGGCATGTCGCCGTTTTAAATTTAATACTCAGGCGTCGCACGAAGAGAATTTCGATATTAATAACGAGTTACCTCTCTCTAATCAGTCGAGTTTCTTTCGCACTCTGGAGCTACTCGAAGTCGGAGAAATAAAGAAAAAACATATACGCGTGCACCAGTTTTTTTAAATCTCTACAGAGGAGTCACTGCTCTCGAAATCGCGAGATCTAGAACTGTCATCGCTATCGCGCGAGTCGCCAAAAGGCTGGCCGTGCCGATCGAATTCCGCGAACGAGACTACCGCCTTTTTCAGCGTGGTTCCGGCATTTATATAGAGACGGCGAGGAACTGTCAATGTGCGACCGATGACGTTTACTGAACATTTTACGTTGACGAGCGGGACACACATGTGTATTCGTAGTATATTCCGCCTACGCTTTG